AAGAAAAGGTTGTTGCGCGCGCGCCAGGGACGGAGAAGGGGCTTGTCTCGAGCAGCCGCAGCCGACCGCCTCACTTTTGACCCCCAAGCCTGGCTGTGAGTCGCAAAAACCATCGGGCGCGCTGTGCCGGCTGCCTGGATAGCTCGCCCCCGTTGAATTGATCTCTTGCCTCACATATTCTCAATAAGCCACCATCCTTTTACTTCTTGGTCCTCTCCCGCCCCCGGCCTTTTTTAAAAATTAAATTTACTTTGTTTTTAAGTGGGTTTGGCTGGCCCTTTAAATAGCCCCTCTTAGAAGGGAGAGAGAGGGACGCCTGCGTTCTTTCTGCGCATGCGCCTTGCCCATTTGAAAGGGGAAAAAAAGGCTGGGATTCAAAGCGGAAGCCACGTGGCTGCCGTCGGCGTGACACTGCCTTCAGTTTAATGCCTGCGACGTTGTGCCTAGACATGGTTATCTTGTAGACTGTCTGCGTTAAGGATGTTGCCCTAGTTTTTTTACTACAGTTCGATGCATATGTAATGTTTCAGCACAGAGACCAGTTACTTGTTTTGTGTCACTCTGCAATTCAGTAGCCTGGGTTGCAGGACAGGACAAGGCAAGCTATGGCGTGCAAGGAGTGCTCTAGCTACTTTGCTGCTCCCTGGCCATTTGTACCGCCTCCTCACATGCACTGTCCACATGGGTAGAGAATGTGATGCCCTTCAGATATTGCTGGACTCCAGCTCCCTTCACTTCCAGCCAGAATGGCCAGCGATTAGGGAAGAAGGGAGTTTGAGTCCACCATGGCCCATGGGCATAGCTGAGTAGGCAGCCGACCCCCATCAAGTAAATAAAAATACGTAACTAACTGACCAATAATGCCTGGCTCCCCCCCCCAAAAAAATCCTGACCATGCCCATGCCATGGATCATGACAACTCCAGTGTCAATGTAAACCATGGCTAGGAAGCCTAGACTACCTTACTGGACTACAACTCATGTCATCTTTGACTATTGGCCAGGCTGACTGGGGGTGATGGGAGTAAATCTTGCAAATTCTGGATACTCCCCACCCCTGAAGTAAACTCTTGTTTCTGACTTTTATTCATCTGAATGACACTTCCAGACTGACATTTAGGGAAGTGGGATAGAGCTAACTATACCTCTTTGTTTCCCATTAAAATGCTCTTGACATATGTAAATAGTCCTTGTGCCCTACAATGAATGGCAGCTGTCTTTAAATATTTCAGTACAATTGCTTATTCACTGTATGCCTAACAATATAAGCTACTGTTGATTTTTTTGAAAGGCCAAGGCAAAATTATAGCTTTGAGAGAGTTCCTGGTTGTCTGCTAAAAGGTGCTCATTGTGTACTGAGATGGAAGTTAAATGCTTCCTTTTCCCAAGTTGCTTATCCAACCAACTGGTGACTGCAAACACTTCTATATATCAGTTGGACCTTTCTTTTTTAAAAGAGCTACTAAAGAAGGTATTTCTTAACGCACAACAATAGCTGCCATTCTATGCACACATAGAACACATTGTGGAGATTAGGCTCCCTTCCTTAAGAGATAGCATGCTGGACATGCATTTGTTTACTTGACAACACAATCCTATGCATGTCTACTCAGATGTTAGTCCCATTAAGTTCACTGAGGCTTCATCCTAGATAAGTGCTTATAGGGTTGCAACCTGAAATACTTAGTGACCTGGACAGAATCTAGCAAAAATCAGTCATGACTAAATTCCACTGAAAGCAATAGAATAGGAGTTAGTTATAGTTAAAAGTGGGACCTGAAACAAAATGTCATTGTATGTCTTCTCACTTTGGGGCCTTACCTGTTGTGCCAAAGGGCTGCCAGCTGACCCCAAATCTGAGCGTTTTATAGCTATATGGGGGTGGGCCATGCAGTTCTGGAGATGGGAATGGCATCCTCCAACCTAATTCTGCCCTTCAGAAAACTACAGTATAAGCTATCAGGGGGAGCATGAGCAGGCTGATTTCTTCTCTTTCTCAGCCCCTCTTTTTCCTTTCAGTTGGCGTTTTCAATTTACACTCCACATTTCCAGTGGCTCTCAGTAACCAACAAACAAAGCCATGGGAATCCAAGCAACAGTAAAATAGAAGTTATTATTAGCATGTAAAAAAACCTATGCAAGTGTATGTATATACAATACAAAAGACAAGTTATCCAAGCCACTACGGCTACTGTAGAAACAAAAAGCTCTCCAAATAATGGGGTTGATGGGAATTGGAGTCCAGCTGCATGTGGAGGACCACAGATTCCCCACCCTTATGTCCTCCGGGTTTACTCCTGAAGCTTTTCTCGTGAATAGCTGCAAAGCAGTGGAGGTTTAGTTTTCAGTCTCCTAGAAGTGTAATAATAAGTACAGTGGTACCTCGGGTTACATACACTTCAGGTTACATACGCTTCAGGTTACAGACTCTGCTAACCCAGAAATAGTACTGCGGGTTAAGAACTTTGCTTTAGGATGAGAACAGAAATCGTGCTCTGGCGGCACAGCGGCAACTGGAGGCCCCATTAGCTAAAGTGGTCTTCAGGTTAAGAACAGTTTCAGGTTAAGAACGGACCTCCAGAACAAATTATTTAACCCGAGGTACCACTGTAATTAATAATTAGTAAAAGTTAATATGCTCTGAATTGTATGGTTATTGTATTCACTAAACATCTAATGAGTCTAAGCAATAAGTATCTGTGGTTTCTCTTGCTGTTACATGTTTGTGCAAAGCACATGTTGGGGAGAGGAGGGAGTATGCACTGAAACCTACTCGCTGCTCTCAGTTTTTGAACCAATGGGGCTAGGTCCAGTATTTAAAGATCCCCCACCCCTGTTACATCATTAGAACCAGAACATAAACCTATGAAACTAGAAAAGAGCAAAAAATATCAATGTTTGGTCCAGATCCTAGTTATTGCACCCTCACTAAAGGAGACTGTATGGATGATTCACTAAATGATTGTAGGATGACATGTGTACCTGAGCTTACGGCCTCAAATTCTATTTATCTTATATGCTGCTTTATTACAAGAATGATGACTAGACTACTGATCCTAAACTGAATATTTAGTTGCCCACCCACCCCCTCCAGAACCTACCATTCTCAACTGACTCAACTGCCTCGCATTCAAACTCCCTTTCAAATCCTCATCCAATCATCACTCACCACCAGAATTCCACAATCTCTCTTTCCCCCTCCCTCCTTGACATTCTCATAATAATTCTGATACAATTACCTTAATAATCCTATTACATTCAATATTTTATACACACTGCTCTCTATAACCATACTGTTAGAAGCACTTGAGCTTCCCATTCCTGGTTCCTAGGAAATTGGGGTGAGCAAACTGCAGGTTCTTCATCCCTGTTTTAAAAAGCAGGTGTCTTCCCCCAAATGATGCTGGGAATTGTAGTTTGTTAGAGGTTCTGGGGATTGTAGGTCTGTGGGAGGGAATCCACAATGGCACAAATCATTTCGGGGGAAGTAATGTGCTTTTTAAAGCATAGCATCATAGAATTGTAAAGTTGGAAAGGACCCCGAGGGTCATCTAGTCCAACCCCCTGCAATGAAGGAATCTCAACTAGATGATCCATGGCTGATGGCCATCCAAGCGCTGCTTAAAAATCTCCAAGGAAGGAGAGTCACTGCTTCAGACCCTAAGGGCCTCTGGAGCAGGAGAAAACAAACTTCCTCCATGTGACAGCCCTTGAGACTAGTTATTGAAAGGGCTGCATGGTGTGGATCTCATATCAGTGTTATGAGAGTGTAAGCAACACATTTCTCTCTCCCCTTTCTCCACACCACGCAGAATTGCAATGGTAACCAGAAGGCTAGAGTTTGGAGCCCAGCCAGGGCTGGCTGTGAGCAGGATCTTTGCATTGTCGGGGGTTTGACTAGATGACTCTTGGGATCCCTTCCAACCCTACCATGCTATGATTATATCAAGGAGCTAAAGGACCAAAAAGATGCTTCTGAAACATTTGGGAATCATAGGAATACTCTCCTCACCCGTGGCTTCCAGCAAGAGCTTGCATCTTCCTTAGGAGAGTGGCAGTCCAGAACAAGGGGGAAAGGCTCACTGTTCAGGTAGGTGGAAATGCCAGTTGAGTGGCCTATACCAGGAGTGGCCAACTTCCAAGGGACTGCGATCTACTCACAGAATTAAAAACTGGCAGTGATCTACCCCCATTTTATTGGGGTTCAGGTCACAGTTGTTGAGTTTTTTTAGAGAGGGTGTTCAGGAGGCTGAAGTTGCTTTGCTTATTTAGGGAGGGGAAGTGCCACATTATTAAAGTATTTTGGCGAGAAAGAGAAACAGCAACTCACAAAAGGATTGCTGGGGGGGGGAATGGCCTCGGTTTGTAAACTCCGTCTTCAGTTCTCCAACAATGCGGGGTGAGGGGCGGGGCCGGAAGGGGGCCAGCAATCGACCGTGATCAACAAAAACATCGCAGGGATCTACCAGTAGATCGCGATAGACCAGTTGGACATCCCTGCCCTATACTATAGGAATACTTCCTTCCCGTGTCCTGCACCCTCATGTGCCAGACTGGTGCTAGCATGGCTGGGAGCCAGGTGCCTGCTGATTCCTCAATTTTCTTTGTAGGGAGGGAGCCTATCCTCAACAGATACTTTGTTCTGGCCAAATACCTGGAGAGATGTGACAACCTCAGGTACTGGGGCAGAGGGAAGGAAGGGGTCCTTGTGAAACACGTTTGGGGAGTCTGTTGCTTTCAGCAAATGCTTTTCAGAAGCATTGCTCCCTCCAACGGGAGGCTGAGCATAGCCATCATGGCTAGTTGCCTTTGATAGGCCTCTCCTCCATGCAATTGTCTAGCCCTCTTTGAAAGCCATCCCATCCAAGATGCTGTTGTGGTGCACCCCGCTCCTGTGCTTCCTTGCTCCCGCAAGGAGATGACTATTGTGAGATCCTTTGGCTAACATCTATCTGGGCTGGAAAATATTAAAGCATCAGAGGACTGGTGAGCTTCCCACAACTGATCAAAGGCAGGCAGATCTGTTAGATCTGTTAGATGCTCAAACGACAAATGGTGCTATCATACCCCACAAGCGTCTCAGCTGATGGAGAAGAGAGCAGTTAAGTGGTCAGTGGGGCTCCAGGTTGTCGTTTCTGGATCCCACCACAGCCCTTCCAAGTTGCCCAAGAAATCAATGTCACAAGAGTTTTTTCCTCGCAGCTCTTCCCCATGATCCCACGTGGGGCCTTCTCAGACATATGCTGTGTCTGAACCAGCAGATCCCACCAAACCAAGTAATTGAGGACCCAGTCAGAAAAGGAGTGTGCGCAGTCCTACCAGAAATAAACACAGCTAAACAGGTACTAGAAGTCACCCCAGAATTGGCCCTACTCAACATCTTCCAGGATAACAGTGCCCACTCACACTATCAAGAGCTCATAACCCACCGACAGCATACAATTCAATATGGCTAACTTAACCCGACAACCCCCCTCAGCCACGCACAAATCCCGCTGTAGCCAGCCAAAGATGATCAACCACACCCTAGGTCACCCTAACCTCTTTCACCATCAAGGAAACAACAAGTGAATAGAAAGAGAACTTCCCCAAGTGACACTGACAGAAAAACCCCATGCATACACTAAATAAAAGAACTTAAGCTTTGCCACCCCAGTCCCTCTGTCCCATCCCCCGACCCCCTTCCAGGGCTGGGTTTAGATGAAGACAGACCCTAGGCTACTCCACTTGGCATCAGGTGCACTTCTGTCATTTCTTTGCTGTTCCCTCACTCTTTGTCTCCTTGTTTTGTAGTAAACATTTGGCAAGGTGGCTTTTGCTTGTTTCTCATGCTCATCAAAATCTTCTCTTTAAAAAATCCAGAGGTGAACTGTACAAACTTGCACAAGAACTCAATAACAGGTCTTATTTCTGAAGGGCTTTGCTGACCTTGTGAAAATGACCTAGCACACTTATACCTCTAAGATTCTGATTTTGGCTGTGAACTAGCCCCCCCCCCCAAAACAAAAATTGAAGTTGGGCCCTAGAGTTTCAAATTGGTCCCCACTGGCTGGCCCTGAGTCTCATAGTTGCTGGGCCTGAGTTGCCCTGCCCTCACATGAAGTCTTGGGTTTGCAATTTTGGGAGAGGGGAGACTGTCTGCTGGGGGCAAGTGGGCTGGGGAGGCCCCCTAGATTTAGAGGCCCTAGGCTTCAGCCTACTTAGCCTATACATAAATCCGGCACTGGTCATGCAGTTTGACATTCTCGTCTATGTGTCTCTATTAGTGCCTGACACTTCGTTTTAATCCCTGTACTCCTTAGCAATCATTGGCTCTTAAGCAGGGTCCAGTGTAGCACAGATGTTTATTTCCATATTTCTCTCACACACTGATTTCACAGCATATAGCTTGGCAGTAATTTCTTTCTGTTACTGTGTAATGCTGTTACCCTCTCTTCATGAGTGATTATAGTGTAACATCCGAGTGCTACTGAACTGACCAGAAGCCGCTGCACTTGTCACCAGCCTCTTCTGAGGTCTAGGTCAGCTGTTTTGTGCAGCCTTTTGAGTTAGCCGCATGGAACGTACAACAGCTGTTTGTCAATCACTGCTGAGGATTATACTTACAAAAGGAGGTGTTAGGAGAAGGGTGGGGGAACCATTGATTTTCCAGTTACTATTCCAGTTCTGAAAATATAATCCAGGGCATAGGACTCTCACAGAAAATGGAGCCCTCTAAAGAACAGTGACAGTTTCACCCATGTGCATTTCATTACAAATTATCGTACGTTTATGTGGAAAATCAATTCCCAGGGGGGCAGTGGTGGGCGGGAGGGAAGCCTGGTGGGCTGCTTGGTTGTGCAATGTAAGCAACATATGTTGGGGGCAGGCAATTGGCCAGGAGGCTTATGCTTCAGCGGTGCTTGCATAACCGGCAGCTGAAACAATTAAAACTGTTTATTTTTACTACATTTATATATCGCCTTTCTGCCAAACCACACAAGATGGTTTATTTTATTATTTTATCATAACTGCTTGCAGTCTAAATGGCATGACATAAGGGAGGCAAGACGAAAATAAGCAAACTGGGGCATCAGCTCTTTATCCTGTTACATAATGACCAGCTAAAATGGCCACTGCTGGATAGAATTGTGTTGGGTTACTACAATACTTTCCATGTGGGATTGATCCAGTGTTTGCAGCTAGCTTGCTTCTGGGGTAAACTATCAACAGCATATAACCCCTTGTTTGCAGGATCCGCACTGACTCCTAAAACGCTTCTGGGCCACGTTCAAAGTTTTGGTACTCATGTTTAAGACAAGTAGGAACCAGTTTGCATAAGAGACTGCCTTGCCTCTTACATACCCAGTAACTCACTGTATTCTGCAGAAGAATCTCTTCTTGAAGTTCCTAAACTATCAGAAGCCCCTCTGCAACAATTTGGAGCAGGACCTTCAATGTAGCTGCCTCTGTTTTGTGGAAAGCATCCCTGTTGAGATGTGACAGGCACCCATTCTCATTTTGAGAAGTTTTTCCAGCTGAATGAAAAAGCTTTAAATTTCTGCTTTGGGTATTTATCTGTATTGTTTAACATTTATCTCTAGGCATTTTGTTATATGGTTGTGAATCACCTTGAAATCAAGATGAAAGGAGGTTAATTAATAACAACTTTTGACCCACCAAACAATGCAACCCATAAGCCATGCATTGTGCCACACATATTTTTTGTTACCTGAGTTAGATGACAAGAAAAGTGAATCAATTCCCAGCATTGTGTGACTGATGGGTGCCTTCAGCTTGAGAGTTACATCTTGTTTACATCTGCTGCTTAGCAAGCAACTTCTCAATTGATCTAGAAAAGGGTTGGAGAAGCTTCTTCGGTCTGAGGGCCACATTCCCTCAGGTACAATCTCTGAGGGGACTCGTGCAAGTGATGAGCAGAACCAGTCACAAAGGTAGGAGGAGCAATAGAAGTGACTTTTACCTTTGTTCAATAGTCTACATTCCTGCCACGCAAAAATCAGAGGAGTCTACACATCCTCCACACACATCTCTCCATCCAGGTAAGCAAAAAGTATAATCACAGTTATTAAACATTAAAATTAAATTATACCCAAATGGTTTTCTTTTTATTAAATCCTATTAAATCTGATTTTTTTAGTCTGGAAAAGAAGAGGGGTGAACCAAGAGATGTTTACCTTATCTGCTACTCTTTGAGATCGTTATTTTTCTTGCTAAACATCTCTTTGTGTGCTTTTTTAATAGCCCAGTGGATCGAAAACTTAGTAAGTAAGTTTGATCATAGCAGAAATGCTTGCGCTTCAGTATGACTGATGTGAATGTGCTACTCAGTTCCTAGTTAGAAATATAGGGAACGTTTGCGCTTTTAAATTTTTTTGCTAAAGAACTGATGTGTCACTGGCGCAATTTAGTTTTGCTTTCAAGTAATGTAAATGTAGTTCACCAAAAGATTTATCACCCTGAGTTAACGATCTTGATAAAATCTTGCTTCTCTTATCTTTTACACTACTGTTTTGGGAAGAGGCCATTGCTCAGTGGTGGAGCTCACACTTCGTTTGCAGAAGGACCCAGGTTCAACGCTTGGAGCTTCCAATTAAAAAGGAATTTAGACAAGTTTAGTAGGGCAAATGGTAGGGGCCCATGTGCCCCAGAGGACTGAGGGTGTTTGCCAGCATCCCTTTCTCCTTTTCCTTATCAGGACGGTGCATTGGCAACAATTCACACTGTGCAGCGAAGAAAGGGTATAGGTGAGGCTGTAGCCACCCGCTAATCTTCATTTCATCAGAATGCCTCTGGGCTCTACCCTAGCAAAAATGTTCAAAAGAAAAGAAAAAAGAATGGTCTTCCATTCCTGCCACAACTGGCGTGTGCTCACCCCCGACATGAATTTGACCTTTGAGCATTCCATTCAAATCGTCAGAACTCTTCAGCTAAGGGCTGACTGTTCAAAACAAATCATGAAAGGCCCAGTTGTTTCCTTGGCCTGCTAACTCATTGCTGAGGGAGAAAACCACCTCAGGGGTGGTTCTCCAGGCTACTCGCAAAGCGAATATGCTTTGCTGGAGACCTCCATCACCTTTTATGTAATCCCTGAGTTCTTTGTTCCATGAGGGATGGTGTAACAGGAGGGGAATGGGGTGAGACTGAGCAGAAATGAAATGGGTGCAACCTGCTCAGTTCTCCGTGGAAGAATTTAACAGCTGGAGCAGACCATTTCTGGTGCTACGGTGCTCATCAGGTATTGTTTCCTAGATTTTCTGCCATTCCCCATACGCCATTCCCCATATTCCCAAACGTCTGCTGATATAAGGCAGCTCTCCATATCCCTATGCCATGGGTCTTGTGAGGGATGGATGCCGACCAACCAACCAAGTGTCTTGCTATATATGTGATCTATATTCCCTTCTTGAGAGCACAAATTGAACAGATACTCATTATGGTATGCCATGGTCAACTGTGAGAATCTTAGCACCCTAAGAAGCTTATCCTGAGTCAGATTGCTGGCCCATTCACTGAGCATTGTCTGCAAAGGCTAGCAGAGGATCTCCAGGATTTCAGACATGTATTTTTCTCAGTTCTTCTCAGAGATACCAAGGATCGAAAGCATTAGTACAACTCCTGAGCCTTGGGGTACATCCTAGGGATACATCCTATGCATAGTCTTAGCTGTGGGGTGGGGAGAAAAGGGGTCGTGGTTTGCATTTTTCCATTGACTTCAGTGGGAGTATGTAATTTACTTTACCTCTTCCACTGCCTTCTTAGAGGGTGGAGAGAAGCCACAAGCAGCAGGGAGTTCCTCCTTTGTTCATCCCCTGCTGTTCTCCTGCTCCACCCATTCTTCCCCTGCTTATGCTGACAGTATCCTGCCAGAAGAAAGGCTGCTTTGGTGGTAGACTTTGCTGGCATAAGAGTATCTCTGTGCCCGCATAGAGTCTAGTCTATTATTCCTATCCCCACATAGTGGTACCCCCTTAGGGGTAGGATTGCACTGTGAATCATCTTTTCAAAACTTCTGGCCCAGTTTCAGCAACCATTTCTGATTTAAGGAATATGTGTAAAAACCCGTATCCTTGCGTGGAAAACGGCCCCTGGCAAAAGTTGTAATACTCCCATTATGAGCCAGGATTATTTATTTATATTATTTCTTTCATAAGTGCATTTTTTTTTTTTTTTTGGTGTGTTAAATTTACAGCAACTCTTACTCACCCTTCGAACATCCTTAATCCTTTCAGAAGTATTCAGTTGGCCACCGTGCTTCTCATCTTCTTTGGAAGTGAGAGAGAGAGAGGAAAGGAATGTACTTGATCTGCCAAAAAGAAAAGAGGAAAAAAATCACGGAAGAGGTCCCTTGGTATATAAAGTTTGCAGCCAATAAACTTGTTGTTGTTTGAAATAAGATTAGTAAATGAACAATAACTGCAAGTGTCGCCAAGGAGAGTAGAACACCATTAGAAGCAAACCATAACTGTTTCTCCTGTGTATTTTCCCCACCGCCACTCATACATGCAAAACTCGGAGTGCTTTATGGATCTTTTCCTGATTTTATCTTATATGTTGTACTCTGCCTTGCTATATTTTTATGAAAGTGTGGGTTATCCATTCATAAATAAGTAGAATAAGACATGAGGTAACCTCCTCCAAAGTGGAAGAGTGTAGTTATACTCCATATCTTGTCAAGTTATATAAGACTTCCATAGGTCTAGGTCCCTGCAAAAGGATGTCTCCAGCTAAGTTTTACTCAGAATAGACCAACGAAAATTAATGGACCTAAGCTAGCCATGTCCATTCATTGTCTATTCTAATTAGGACTAGTGTTGGATACAACCCAATGACCATCTTCCTGTAACTGCCTTAGGAGGAGAACACACTTCAGCCATCTTGGAGCTGTCCAAGGTCCTGTTCTAGTTTGCCCTCTGCTTTGACCTGCCTTCACTGGACAATGCCTGCTTCCCCAGTGAGCCTCAACCTCCCACAAATCTGAAAAAGGAAAAATTGCAGATTAAAGGTGTTCAGTCCAAATGGGGATTGGGACACAGGGAGAGGGGACCTCATCTGTTTGTTCCTGCTTTGATCAGCTGTTTGGGGAGGAGCGATCTGGAGTTAAATGGCTAGAGACTCCTCCATGCCATAATCCCAGTTTGGATTGGGCCCCCCCCATAATATACTACTGGATTTTCAAAATATTTAGCCAGTGACTAATTGAGTGAATAATATCATGTCTGTTTGATCCCAAAAAGTTCTAGAATACCATCTTAAAAGCCCTTAGCTCTCATTCAGCCAATGAATTAATGACACATATTGAATGAGTTGCTGTGCCACTCATACCTTGTGAGGAGGTGTGTCTGAATCTGAATTTCTGATACGGTTTGTCTCCGTAGATCATGGCATAAGTATAAGATTGACATACAGTGGTACCTCAGGTTACATACGCTTCAGGTTACATATGCTTCAGGTTACAGACTCCTCCTGCACGGCGGCAGCAGGAGGCCCCATTAGCTAAAGTGGTCTTCAGGTTAAACACAGTTTCAGGTTAAGAACGGACCTCCGAAACGAATTAAGTACTTAACCTGAGGTACCACTGTAACTATAATATGACACAAGACCGCCCCACCCCCAAGATGAACTCCAGTAACCATGAAACCAGCCTGATTCCAGCCACCTGCTAAAAAGCATTCAGGAATATCCTGAATTCACACACATCTTGGCTTAAATTTATTTGTCAAGTACAAGATACTCAACTCCTCAGTGAGATTCAGATCTGAAGCCAGATCGCAGACAAGAGATGGCCAGGTTCAGATAATGGCAAACCACCACAAGTCTTTCACCCTTTTTGTTAAGCAAATGGGAACAGGATTACCAAAGCAAACTAGGCAGGAAATTCTGGAAGGGATTATGGAAACTGCAGGAATCACTCAGTCCACAGCCCTCTCCCATCTATACTGGTGTACCTTGGCAAATTGGTATTTAAAAACCCATTCAATTCAAAGGTCAGTTAGCTCTCATAGCTCCAACAGGACAGAACTTACCCAGTGCTTTCCAGAACTCTAAGGACAGGTATACTTTCCTTTCCCCCTCTCCTAGTGTGAGTATATGGCAAAATTCTCATGCCCATTCTTCTGTAAGCTTCATAGAATAGTTAGGAAATATTTAACTCTTTAATTAAAGTGCGTATGTATTGTAATTTGCCACCTGCTTCGACTTTAACTCTGCTGTCTTAAGTAGCATTTATATATACAGACATACCTCGGGTTGAAGTAGCTTCGGGTTGAGCGCTCTGCAGCAACCCGAAAGTAATGGAACGTGTTACTTCCAGGTTTTGCTGCTCATGCATGCGGGGACGCTCAAAATGATGTCATGTGCAGAAGCGGCAAATTGCGACCCACGCAGACGCACAGACACAGGTTGCGTTCGCTTCAGGATGTGAACGGGGCTCCGGAATGGATCTCATTCGCATCCAGAGGTACCACTGTATATCTATTCTGTCACGCCTATTTTATATAATAAACCAAGCTTTCTTTATTTCTTTGTGTGAGAGCTTCTTGTGGGCATAAGGTTATGGGTTAACACACACATCGTAACTCCCAGCAAACGATCCTAAAGCTCTCAGAAGTGTGTATATGCACACATGTGGACACACAAACCTGCAGCCTTTAACCATACATTTTTTCAAGGATTTCAGAGACTGGTCATTTTCTTATATTGGTGCATTATGCTATAAAGTCACAGCTTCACAGAACTGCTAGTCTCACCAGGGAATTTTGAAGATCTCCTCTGTAATACCCATCACCCTTGGTTCAGCTACCCTAGCAAATAGTTATCAGGTAGCTGTGGTGAATCTATAGCCTCATCCTATAACCAGATTAGTTACAGTATAAAATGTCTTATTTACTTGATGCACATTGGTGCCCCTGAGTGCATTCTACATTTCAAGAAGTTGCATTCCAAATTCCAGGCATCCCTGCTTCTCATTTCAGGAACTGGAAGATGAGAAGCTTGGTTGATTTTTAAAAACAGAACAGGCTGTTCGGCCATGTGGCAAAGATACTGCCATTTCCCAAATGTGTTAAGAACAAATTTGGAGCATTGCAAGAAGTTAATTGAATTCAGTATTGTCATCAATATGGATATATTCTCCAGTTATTAGAGTATGGAATATCTCCATACCAGGGGAAACAGAGTGGTCTTGAGTTGTTATTTTTTTAAAAAAAATGTGCATGCAATCCTTTACGCAGAAGTAAGTCCCACTGTGCTTAATTTACTTCCTGGTAAGAGTACATAGGATTGCAGAGGTTGATGTAGAGGAGGAATGAGAATGGACAGATCTGTCTGCTTCTGTTTATATCAGGCTCTTCAAGCATGTTTACACATCAAGCTGCATTTTAAAAACAACAGCAGAAATATGCACATTGTATTTTCTCCATAAAATATGCATTTTTATTCTACCCTAAAATACATATTTTGGTGTGCATGGTAACCTAAAATGCTTGTTTTATCTGTATTTCAATATTCATTTGTTTTTTTAATGATCAGTTTGTGGTTCTGTATTGAAAAATGGAAAGATGTGCAAAAACCAAAGCTATTTGTGTTCCAGTCTGCACCTTAGCCTGCGAAGTGAATGGAGTCAGCTCACTTTAATACTGCAGACCCAACAAGATCTCCCAGCATCCCTCGGAAGAAATTGACATGGGCAAAACGTGAAACAATTTGAAAAGCTGGATGGCTTTCAAAAAGATGCTCAGGCAAGTCTTGTTGTGGGGCTGATGTTCAAGCAAAGGGAACAAGTCTAGTGACAGACTGTCTGCCCAGCTCATAAATCTGCAGACAAATTTAAGTTTTCACCTGGAGCTACATTTACAAGTATGTCAATGAAATTAAAATCAAAGCCCCTTGCCTGGCCTGCGGGAAAGGAAATGCATCATGAGAAGAGAATGCTTTCCAGCACTCGCGGATCCTTCTAAGTTTCTGAAATCCTCCAAGTTAGCACTGTAGCAACAAGAATCCCAGAGTGGAATGTGTTGAACACGCTCATGATTAATGTGGCAGTTCTTCAGGAAGGATGTAAAGGTCAGGTTGAGGAGGACTCTGGTTATTTATGAGGCAGAAATCTTTTAGGTATTTCCAAGGGTGTTATTCAAGTCAGCATTATTCTGTGACTGAACTTGGATTTGACATTTCTGGGTTTCAAAGACAGTTGAGGAGAAATGCCTAGCAGGTTGTGTGTGTGGCGGCAGTTGAAAGGGGAAACAGAATGAAGATTAACCTTCTAATCGTTGTTGCAAACATGTCACAAACTTTGTCTCCCAAACTGGGAATCTTTTAAAGATATTGTAGCTCGCTCCTTCCAACCACCATCATATGTTGTTCCTCTGTAATTCCATGGTGCTCTCAAAACAGCAAACATGCCAGAGGAGAATGTATTTCCTTTCATTAAATATAACCCTGATTACTCCTTGGCTCTAGGCATTTTTCATCAGCAGATAACAGTTCACTAATGAGGTTGATATTGCTTTTTCAGCTGACTCATGCCAGCACTGGGATTAATCAGTTGGGGGGGAATGTATATCCTTGTTCATAGACATAGTTGGCACTCTATATTTTATAAACCAAATGACAGAAGAATTGTGTTCTTTTCTAGGATACTTTTCTATTACCTGTTCCAGCAGATTATTGTTTGGCTTTGAATGAGTCTGCTGTTTAAACGGTGGCACCTTTTTCTCTTTTGCAAAGTGATTTTGCATTTTAGCGTTACATATTGGCTGGATCCAGACTGATTTAGTCACACTTTAGTCCCATGGATGAATCTGTTTCATTGTTTTCAATGGGACTAAATGACGTCTGATGTAGTCTTAATCCAACCCATTGAATTATTAGATTTTGGGATGGCCTTGCCCTAAAAGGTTGTCAAAAATAAATGAATGGGTGACAAAGTGTATTTACATGATGTAAAATAGATTTATTTAGCCACCAAGAATCACCAGAACATAAGAAGAGCTCTATTGGATCAGACCAAAGGCCCGTCTAGTCCAACCTTCTGTTCTCACAATGGCCAATCTGCTTATAGAAAGCTCACAAACAGCACACACTGTCTGGTTGCAGCTTCCAGCAACTGGTATTCAGAGGCATATTGCCTCTGGTACTGGAAGTAATATAGTCATCATAAAATATTATGCATTGGTGTTGGTTAGAGCAAGGTGCTGATAATGCCAAGGTTGCAAGTTTGATCCCCGTATGGGACAGCTGCATATTCCTGCATCGCAAGGGGTTGGACTAGATGATCCTCAGGGTCCCTTCCAACTCTACAACTCTATGATTTCTATGAAAGTCTTATCCTCCAGGAAATCATCAGATGAAATGTCTGGTTGGTTAGCAGCCCTTGGGCAGCTCCCACATGTGCCCAAAACTTTGCCCAAGTATCATGTACAGCTGATTTTACAGATAACTCATTCTGAGTATCTCTGACCATAAAGTTGCCATGTAGTATTTAAGCATTGTTTAATTGCTTGATGTCCCTATGTCAATAAAAAAAAGGTCTTCCCTAGTTAATTGCAACATGGCTGGAGTGGGGGTGTTAATGTCTTTTGCAGGACGTGCTTGCCCCACCTCCTCTGTTTGCAAATGAATGTGGCTTCAAGACCCTACTGGATGGACGGCTTGCTTGCAAAACGAATCATGTTCTTTGGTTCAGCATGAACCAGCACAAGACATTCTATGCACATGAGGCAGAGCTACCACTGACCACCTCCTTTTGTGTGTGTTTTCCTGCTATGGCAGTAGTCTCAGTGTGCCAAGGCTCTCCAGGGCTTCTCATCTGGCATTGTCTTCCTCCCTGACAAAAGGACCCTAGGAAATGTCAGGTCCTTCCAGGTTCAGAAGACCTTGAAGAGCGCCAGCACTACTACTGTAGTTTAAGAGTAGTTCAACTTGAAAGGCTGCTGCTGTTCAAGTTTAGACAGTATTGGCCACGGCAAAGTGGCAGTGGTGTAGCCCTTTACCCACAGTGCTTTGCTCTCGAGAAATAACCATTCCTCAGAGCAAGATGTGGCTGACCAGAGAGCCCCGTATGAGTGCTGCTGACTGCTTTGCCGTAGGGGCAAAGTGGTGGTCTTGGGTCACAGCCACACAATACATTTAAGAAGTTAAGAAGAGCCCATTGGATAAGGCCAGTGGTGCAGCTAGCCCAGGGTTTCTGAAACTTGGGTCTCCAGCTGTTTTTGGACTACAACTCCCACCATCCCTAGCTAGCAGGACCAGTGGCCAGGGATGATGGGAGTTGTAGTCCAAAACAGTTGCAGACCCAAATTTCAGAAACGCTGATCTAGTCCAACATTCTGTTCTCACAGTGGCCAACCAGTTGCCTATTGGAAGCCTCAGAGGAAGGATCTGAGTTCAAGAGTGCTCTTCCCACTTGTGATTCCCAGCACTCAGAGGCATACTGTCTCCGACATGGAGGCACACTGTCTCTGACATGGAGGCAGAGTGTAACCACCATGAATTTACCTAAAGACATCCAAATTGGTGGCCATCATAACTTCATGTGAGAGCACTCTTATACCACTTAAACAGCCATCTCTCCCCCCAACCCAAGAATACATAAGACTGATGCATATCCCTGCCATCCCTGGTCTGCTTTTCCAAAAGAAAGATGTGATTGTTTCTGATCATTCATTTGTATGTTTCCCATATGCTATGACTCTTAGAATTAAAGAACATGCTTAGCCCAGGATTCCCCCCCCCCCTGAAACTGAACTCACAGCTCTTCCACACAAAAGTCCACTTCCTGTTTTCCTCTGACACTTTCTTCATTTCAGAAGCCCAAGTGGGGAGCCTCTCATTTGTTGCTATTTTTTAAACAATTGAGAGTCAGAAAACCTTTCTGATCAGCCACTTACCCTGAGGTCAACTCATAGACAGTGGCGTAGAGTGGGGGGTGCAGGGGGGGCCGGCCGCACCGGGCGCAACATCTGGGGTTAGGGCAAATCCACGGGTTAGGGGGCGCAAATCCACAGGTTAGGGGGCGCAAATCCACGGGTTAGGGGGCACAAATTACTTGCCTTGCCCCGGGTGCTGACAACCCATGCTACGCCGCTGCTCATAGATCCCAATTTACCAGTAGAACACTGTTGTATGCCAAGGCCAGATGATGCCTATGTTATAATACAGTCTTCAACCATCTTAAAAACAATTCGCTTCCCTCAAGCCACTAACTGCACACTGCAGTGGTGTCACCGAAGGGAGAAAGCTAGGGAAAGCTCTAAGAGTCTGCTTCCTATGCAGCCCTCTGAATACTGGAGGCTGAACATTGGCATTTCTGTGGGTTCCCAGAAAGCACACCCTGCTCTTCCCCTTAGGCAACGGTGATCATGCATGATGTGTGGGGCAGGAGGCGAGTGCTTATATGGTATGAAACTAAATAGATCCACTAGCACAAGGATTTCTGCTTGTGCCTTTTCCTCTCAATCTCTCTGCACAATCTTCCCAAATCTGCTCCAGAGGGTTGAGGAAAATCCCAGCACAGATTAAGCAGGGGGCAGGGGGAGTCCCTTCGCGTAGCCCAAAGGATTCTTGCAGTAGTGATTCTATTTTCTTGTATACCGCCCAGGGGCAATTTCCTCTATGCCACAATCAATGTCCCCTCCACAAATGTCTGGTGGTGGTTTGAACTGGGTGTGGTGAGGAGGAGCTGCCCTCTACACAGTGGTGTTACTTGAGTTTATTTGGACAGGACCAGGACAGGGAAAGGGCAGTGGCAAGATCGAGGCTGTGTAGGTGCACCAGCAGAGCCCATCTAGTGTTTCCACTGATGTTCACCAACCCTGAACTCACTGCCGCTGTGCCCTGCTTCAGCCCGATCTAGGTAAGCTGCAGCAATGTTGGAAGGTGGCTGAACAGGTCCACCACCCCAGCAGCTATGGGGTGCCAAGCCAGAGTACCCTGATGTGATCTGCCACTCAGAAACAGCCCTTACTCTATGTCACTGATGCACCTTTCTTTTATGTGCTATTAAACCAAGGACAATAACAATGTTGTTGATATGTTTTTATTAAAAATGGATGAAACTGATATGAAGTAAGATCTACTTTTTTTTACCGCACACATAAAAAAATACAAATGCATTTTACAGTGTATTTACACAACATTTCCCACGTTTCAGCTTCCTTGAGTTGAAAACCAAAATGAGAAACTACAAAGGTTAAAATATCTATTTTACATTATCTACAAAATGTATATTCTACTCTGACCAAAAATCATAGGAAAACACTTTGATGCATGTGGGGAGGGGAGTGATAAGACATAAAACAGGCATCTTAAAAAATATAAAACACATCAAAGCTCATTAAATAATTACATTAATAAATAGATTTTGTTCAAATTTACTTTTGAAGCTGCTGTCATGCGTATTTTGCTTTTGTTTACAAATCTGTGGATACAAAGGTTTGGAAGAAAATGATCAGCACGAACAATGCTCCCCCCCCCCACTCCCGGTGTGAAATCCAAATCATTCCTTTCCTTTTAAATGAGAGGTGTGAGACATGGATTAAATACTTGATTGAGAACATGTGCCCATAAAAACACAACAGCAGCTCTCTACAATATAAAACATCGCATGTCCATGTCAACAGCTCTTTGTTTCCAGTAAAAAGAAGTTCATTGAGCTGTAGGTCTGGAGCCCATCTTGAAAATATAGATGCTCAACCCCCCCCCCAAGAAAAAGGTCCTTATGCACAGAATGCCCTTTTGAGTTTGGTCAAAGCCACAAGTATATGTACACCCAGCTGTGAAGCAAACAATGACATGATAGAGTTTTCGTTAGGCAGTGATATCTGTAAAGCAGGCAATTCATTGATAAGTTCAGATTTTAAGATGCATGGCTGAGTTCTAACTTGGGGGATGCTTCATGGATTTGCTGTTCCTTTTCCTCTCTTTATGATGCTGCGCGGGCTTTGTTTGAGATGCTCCTTCAAAGTTATGGCTGGATTCGTTGTGTTGCCTGGTGTACCTCTTGCACTTGCAAGCCGTAACGACAGTTACTTTGTAGGTTCTTGTACTTCCATCTTGACACTGAAGCTGAATCCTTTGGGTGCGGGTCTTGTCGTTGACACATCGCCACTCCTGTGAGCTCCTTCTGCTCCAGTACTTGGAACCATAGCCTCCTCCGATCCAATTAGGCAACACCGGCAAAGGGAGACACTCCCCAGCACACACCAGCTCTTTCAGAGGGTTTATGCTGGTACATTGGCCATCGGAAATGTATTTGGTGGATCTCAGTTCCCGGCATCCAACTTGAACACGACCTGTCAAAGGCACAGAACATGAAGGTCAACGCTCAAATTCCAATGGCCTACATTTATTTCTTGCATCAGAGTAGCTCACAAAGCCTTGGTACCCATGTTCATATGTCCTTCATGTGGCAGAGGGATGGGGCTCCTTCCTGCTGCACTATGTGTA